TGATGTCAAACTTAANNTGATGTCAAACTTAACTTTGATACAAGATGATGCCTTTGTCCAAAAATAGTTAGTTTATCAGTATGTTGAGTTTCACCAGCCTCATAATACAATCCGACTGCAATACACACTCGAGTAATACCGTCGTTTTTTTTGCTAGTGTCCTACAACACGTTAATGAATGGAACTTGTCCATGTTATCATCTTTGTCGTACAATATATGTATACCATCATCACACAGAAATTGTGTAGTGATAGTATAAACATGTTGTGCAACAAAGATGATAACAAGGACACCTTCCATTAAATAACGTGTTTTTATGACACTACAAAAAAAAATGGCGATATTACTCGAGATTGTGTATTGGAGTCGGATTGCATTATGAAGCTGATGAACCCCACCATACTGAGAAATTAACTTATGTAAGGTTTCGAAGTTGGATGAAAGGTTTCTTAAGTAATTGTATTTAAATATGGACTTGAGCTTAATTGACATTTAATAAATATCCGAGGACAGATGATATAGTCAATTAAGGTGCCTACGTATCCCTAATATAGGGAATCAAAGTCCACGTAGTTCTTTTTGTGGTTAACGGACATTGACTAAGAATTCTGATGATGACCAAGTCCCTGATAGAGTTCTCTTGTTTGTGCCATAGCAGGTTTAAAAGAGAATTCAAAACATAATACGTAATGAAAACCTTATGACGTGGCATCATCGGTGTCACTGATGTCAAACTTTTGATTTAATGTCGAACTCCAATAATGTGTTTGAGCAACAACCAGTAACAATGACCCGGAGAGACAAATCGTTACTCCCGTTGCACGTGAAAAAGAATTCGAATTTCCGAATCATCGCTACTGATTGTTGCTGAAACATATTATATAAGTTCATCATTGAATCAAAACGTTGACATCAGTGACACTAATGACGTCATGCCATGAGTCGTCATTATGTATTATGTGTTGAAATCTCTTATAAACTTGTTATAACACAAACAAGAAAACTCTGTCACGGACTTGGTCATCCTCTGAATTCAGATTCAATGTCTGTTAAATTATTAAAGTTATTTGTTTTTTTTATTACACATTTATTTTCTTATTACACATATAATAATTATGAAACAATAGTCAATTAAGGTGCCTACGTATCCCTTATATGGGGAATCAAAGTCCACGTAGTTCTTTTACAAAAGATCTCGAATTAAGCATTTGCTTTCTTAAGTTGAAGGTCTCGATATGTAAAATCTTAGAAAATTTTTTAAGGCATATGTTTTTAATATTCATAATAACTACAATTACGTCAATGATATCATGCGCACAACCTCCATTGTGCATCATATTTCCAACTCTCTCATACGCCTACAATAGAGCAATATACTGAAGTCCTATGACAGTCTGTGTGATCGTTGTATATACTGCGATATTAGAGGCATATAAGAGAGTCGGAACAATGATGTCATGATACACAATGAAGAATATGGGAAAGACAACATTGGAGTGATTGATATTATTGCTTAAATTTGTGAATGTTATTCTATAATAGAGAGAGTCGAAGTTAGCACCGTTTGCGGCATACTTAAATGTGCAACTATCATACAACACTACAATAAAACTAATGTCTTTTTTCTAGAGTACCGTAGTTTATTTGTAGTGTTGTACGATAGTTTCACAAGTAAGTAGGTCGTAAGCAATGCAAACTTCGACTGTCTCTATGTATAATGTAAGTATTTTATTATTCAATTATGTATAACAAATTATTTGATATTGTACTATCATGAAAAATTATTTTAAGCTTTCATATTAATATTGTTAAAAATTATTATACTACTATTATATTATTTTGACCTTTGGAAAGGGTGGACAATTAGTTAGAGCTTCTCGACAATACAATTTCAAATATCTTTTGGTAATTTAGTTGGTGTACTTGCAATATTTTTTTGTAATTGAGTTGGCACGCGTTTTGGTGTACTTGAAATATTTTTTGTAATTGAGTTGGCACGAGTTTCACCGAGAAACTTCTGGCCAATACAATTTCAAATATTTTTTTGGTAATTGAGTTGGCAGTTTGGCACGCGTTTCACCGAGAAACTTCTGGCCAAAACAACTTAATTATTAGTTTAATTTTCATAAATTATTATTTAATTTCTATCATTGTTTAAGTTATTCTATCATTTCATATTAATTTTGTTAAAAATGATTATATTACTATTATATTATTTTAAGTTTAATATTATTTTGATCGATATTTGAGTTTCACAAATGACAATATATTAAGGTCATATAAAAAAATATTAAAAATAATAGACTTGCGCTAAATTGACATTTATTAAGTGAAAATATCATACAAATTGTAAACTTTTTTTGTTTAAAAAAAACATTTTCACTTATAAATGTCAATTTAGGTGCCTACGTATCTCTTTTATGGAGAATCAAAGTCCATGTAGTTCTTCTATTTACGTACCTTCAATTCAGACGAGTGGAAGTCTCTAATAGTCGTACTCATCTTCGGCCGTCCCGGTACCGCTCGTCGAACTTGTGAAATCAGATGCGTCGTCATCGTCGTTGTTGTCACCTTCTGGCCCGTCGATGA